TCTTGTTTTGTCCTTCAAAGTTAAGTTTGTTTCCTGGAGAAAACATAAAATGCTTGTGCTTTTTAATCCAATCAGCCAGCCTGTGCCTCCTTAGTGGTGAATCCAAACCATTACACTTATCAAGAGAATGGATAAGAATGGTGGAGCTCTATCATCTTATTTTGTGAACATCCGTTCCTTGGTTTTATCCCTTGTGCCATTGTGGAAGCTGAGTTTGTTCTTTAGTTTCTGGATATTTACTTTGCTGGTGGTCTATTGTGGTGGTCAGTGTGGAGGACAGGTCTGAGTATTTCCTGAAGAGGTGGGCTTGTTGTGATGAATTTGCTCAATGTTTGCATGTCAATAAAATATTTGATTCCTCCATTGAATTGAAAGCTTAGTGTAGCAGGATATAGAATTATGGGCTGAAAATTGTTTTGTTAAGAAGATAAAAGATAAGTGGCCATTCTCTTCTGGCATGAAAAGTTTCTGGTCAAAAGCCTGCTGTTACCCTGATGGATCTTCTCCTATAGGTCAATTGGCACTTACTCCTGGCTGCTTGCAGAATTTTCTCTTTTGTCTTGACTTTGGTCACATTTATTACAATGTGTCCTGGAGATGCTCTGTTTGTGTTGAGAGAACCTGGGGTTTGATACCCCTATGATAGGAGTGTGTCAGAATCCTTGGTGGTGCTTGGGAAATTTTCATTTATAATAACCTCCGTTAGGGCTTCTATTCCTTTGGGATGCCTTTCTTCCCCCTCAGGATACCTATAATTCACATTTTAACATTTCCTAAAGTTCCGTAATTCTCTGAGAAAATGTTCTGCTTTCTCTCTCTTCTTTTCTGCCTCGTCTTTCTGCCTGTGTTAGCTCAAGAGCCTTATCCTCTAAGAAGATCTGAGATTCCTTCTTCTGCCTGATGTTCTGGCCTGTTATTGATACTTCCTACTGCATCTTTAAATTACCTGATTAACTCTTTAAATTCCTTAATCTCTGATATATCCTTTATAATTACATCATGTCTTTCCTTCATTTTTGGATCAGTTTTTGGATTTCCTTTTGATAATTTTCCATTTCCCCTT